CACAGACATAATACACTAGGAAGAGTAAACTCATTTGGTTGTGATGGGGGCATATGTTTATCCCTCATAAGACACTTGTGAATTCAAATTGTTGTTTTATTGCATTACGGGACATATGTTTATTCCCATGTTTGTAAATTTTACTCACTTTTGGTATGATTTATGTTTGAGGTGTGTTGCCATTTATTTTTCCTTTATGGGTCTGAACTTTCCCTAATTCGGTCAAGTCAGTGGCGTTTTCAGACCCATTTTCATGATTTTTCTGTTAAATCTAAGTGGTAAATTTGGATTATCTCCCTTTACAAAATTGGTTTTATTTCTCATCTTGATATCTTGTGTCTGCTAAAAATTATATGTCATTATTAATAATACTTTTGAGAATTTCAAACAAATTATTAAACGTCACAAAGGTGGCAACACACGACAAACTGTTTTACAGACTTTTTACTCATTGAAGGAGGATAAGATAAGGTGTTCTAGCTTTGAAAGGATGATGGAAAGAAATTAACCAGTTGATGGGTAACCGGGGTATCAAAATACTTATTGCATTAAAATAAATTATTAATATTTATTTTTTTAAGTCCAATTTCTTAAGAAAAGTATACTTTTCAATCTTTTTACTTTTCAATCATGATAAAATCCTAAATGAATTAAAGATACCAAAAAGAAATAGAGAATAAAAATTAATTTGAAAATAATGCCCAAGCCCAGAAGGTCTTAAGATCATCAGATAATTATAACATCAAAGTGACTATATTAAATACATAAACTTTGTATTTATTCTCTTATTTTTTCACTATAAGTTCACCTTTAACCTACATACTTAGTATGGTATAGACTATAGCAATTAAGTGATTATCTCACCTGGTCTAATTCCCATTTTCACACATTCTTTAATTACCTGTAATTCAAATGTGTGCAAAACGGGAACAAACCTTATATACGGGTATTTTGTTACTAAATTCAAGGATAACCTAAAAAACTGTTTTAAAGAAGTACAATAAATGAATGTTTGTAATCCTTGATCATCATTTTTCCCGAGAAATAATTTATTGTATAATTCTTAGGTTATAAGTCCATACACTATTTTGTTTTTAAAGGTTACTAAATACGGAATTTAAACTATTTTTTAATAAAAAGGAAACCAAATAAGCGGTATTGTTTTTCTTTTAAATTTACTTTCATTCATAAGCATGCTCTACGTATGAGCAATTTCTTAAACGAGGTAAATTATTGACAAGCAAGTTTATGAAACAAGAATATCAACAGTCTCGTTTAAAGTCATCATCTCGTAAGTTCTTTGGTGGATACAAGAACCTTGTCAGCAAATACAATTTATTATTGAGTCAAATGCTGACTTACGTTTTTTATACCAATTGTTAGTCCATTATTTATACACTGAATTGACGACGGATTTTTTCCGTTATTTCCTGATCATGACAACGAGCACACGGCGGGTGTGACCGGTCGGCAGGGGATGCTCACTCCTCCATGGCACCTGATCCCACCTCTGATGTTTCGGAGGTCCGTGTTTGCTCTGCTCTTATTTTGTATATTGTTTAATGGACTTTGAGATTGAATACTGTTCATTATTTCCATATACATCTTTCATTCATATGAGAAAAAAAAATCCCATCTTTAGAATCTGCATTTAGCCACTCTACCCTTGCAAAATTACTTGAATGATTTGATACAACTTAATACTATAAACAGCTTATAGTTAAACACTAACACACGCGAAAAATTATATATATCTTATCTAGATGACATCCCTGTGAGCAAGTATGCAGCTTCTGTAATACCTGATGAGGTATATTTCACTGCACATACAAGTATTTTGATGATTTACTTAAGGTAAATTATACTTCCGTTCTTAGAAAACTTTTAAAAATTCATTTCCATTCGAAGAACTTTTAGTACTAAAAAACAAAACTTTCAACAGGCTTAGCATTCATAATTTAAAATCAAGTGACTTCAGTTTCCATATGTAACTCAAAAGGGAAACTTTTAATGCCTTCATAAATAAATTCATGGCAGCCTAATATCTTAAGATGATTAGCATTAAACAATCAGTACTGAGCTAACCCATGCACAAAAAGTTTCATGTAAAAACCCAACACAGTCAGGCTTTATAAATTAAACCTCTTCATCATTTATTATCAGATATTATGTCAAAAAAGTCAAAGTTATCTAAACAATACGGATTGGTATTGATAAGATGAATGTCCTCATTATACATAATTTACTAGAAAATGTTTTTGTATAGCATAGGCAAGAAATCACATTTAATTATTAATAAATGTTCTTTCTAACCTATGATAGAGAAAACTATCATACCTAATTTGTAAACTCTTTCTGAAAATATATCACATATAAGTTTTCAACCATCGACTTAATTTTTGGAATAAAACAGTGCAGATTGAAATACGTTTTTATTTTTGAAAAGTGCATCATTTTGATAATTATATTTAAATAAACATATATATATACACTAAGTCAGCTTGGCTACTTTTCTAATAATCGCCTTCACAACTTCAAAGTCAACTACTTTTTATTCTATTTTCTTTTTTAAATTTTTTTATATCTGTAATTCTAAAAGGTTCTCTCTTTCCATGCCCCCCTCCCATTTTTTTTCACGATTCTTCGTAGATTAGATATTAAAGATATCTCGTTGCATTTAATTATCTTAATATCTTCTTCCGTTCAAAGTTATTTATGTTTAATCTTCATTTTTCTAGAGATTATCTTTCTTCCCATATAGATATTTTTTTCTAGAACGGACGGAAGTCAGAATAAAAAGCATAGATTTAAACTTTCTTTAAAAGGAATTTTTTTTCCTTTATCTAATTTTTTCTATACGTTTTCTGTTACGGGTTGAATTTTCTTTTGAATAATTATTTTAGCACTTCATGACGATCATATCCATTTTCGAATGCACCTGTTTGTATAATGACTGCTTTACTTACTTGTACTACATCAATCAAAAATTAGGCAAATATTTTCACAATAAATTGTCGACATATTTATCCAATATCGCCTGATAATGACAAGGAGCGGTTGTGACCGGTCGGCAGGGAATGTTTTTTCTTCCCTGGTATCCGATCCCAGTTCGGTTGTTTTGAATGTCTGTGTTTGCTGAGTTGTATTGATTATTGAAATTCTAGGCTTGAATAATCTTCATATATTTCGTTTGATTATCACACCTCTTTGATTAACCTGTTCACTTTATCTTTACAATCGTCATCTCCCTTTCTCATACAGCAATACATGTACCTTCATCACCTGCATACGGAGTTTATATATCTCAGTTGATTCGATATGCAATTTCGAATCTGTCAAAACAGAATAGGAGCAGAGCAACACGGACCTAAAAAAAGCATCAGAGGTGGTGTTAAGTGCCACGTAGGAGTTGGCATCCTCTACAGACCTGTCACACCCGCCGTGTGCTCCTTGTCATGGTATAACGGAAAATCCGTCTTTAATTCAGTGCATAAATAAGTATGAAAAATGTCAGTCAGCATTTGATTCAATGACAAAATGTTTTGCTGACAAGTTCATTGTATCAACCATAAAACTTACGAAATGATGACTTTAAACAAGACAGCTGATATTCTTGTTTCATCAACTTGTTTGTAGAAATTGTTCATACGTACATGTAAAGCATGCTCTTTGTAGCTAATCAACTGAGATATTTAAACTCCGCATGCAGATGATGGAGGTATGTTGCTGCATAAGTAAGGGAAGATGACGATAGAAAAATTAAAGTTAAATTACCATTTACGTCTTTTTCAAGTAAAATATCCAAGTATGAAACAGATGAATCCGACTGTGTGGTATCTTTACATTTAATAACATTAATTGAAGTATATTTCATACAAGATTATATACATGTAGGGATGTGCGAATTTTTCGTACTTTAACGCAAATTATGCAAATACTACAATATATTTTTTATCAAAATATAATATATGATGAGTAATACTATAAATAAGAAATGCTAAAAAGTGATGGATACAAAGAATTTCTATATGCAAAAAAAAATAATAATTATAAAAATGATGGAAGTTTTTTAAAACTTCTATCTTATAAATTTCACTAGCATATATTTATTACTTTTTCTTTCATACCATTTTATAACCTCTTCTTAAAGAGCTTCACGTTATCATAACGTCAAAAAAATATCACAGAGTCAATCTACCTATCAGTTGAAAATTTTTTTTAACCTGTAATTTCTTAATTTTATTGAGTTTAATTAATAAAATGAAAAAAAAAAATAAAACAGTAAATACGCTTCCTTTTAACTATGATACGCGAAATATTGCGCCATGGAAAACCCAGTCGGTCTTATTAAATACTGGTCTAACAACTAGTATGAACAATGTAAGTAAGCATTTGATTTAATTACATGTATATTGTTCTTACCACTAAGGTTACAAGGTACAGATAATACTAATTGTTTTGACCATATATAGAACGTACGAAATGATTATTTTAAACGTGATATTTGATATTCTTATTTCATCAACTTATTTGTCAATACCATACCTCGTTCTAGAAATTTTTCGTACGTAGAGCAACTTATTGTGTATCGGATGAATTGAAAAATATTACATACATATGCAGTTGGAAAAAGTATATTGTTCAATAAAATAGGGAAATTGACGATGGAAAAGTTAAAGTCATTATGTTAAGCTCTGTTGTCAAATCACCATAAACGTTTTTTTTCTTTATAAGAAGCGTCTTAATTATCGTTTTATATGTACTATAAAATATCATGCAATTTTTTAATGTAATAAATGGTTTCAAATATTCTTACTTAAAAGATTTATGAAAGTTTTTATACTACTTTTCCATACGTGTAGATAAAAAACAACATCTATTACGTAACCTTGTATAATAGACACTATCTTAATTATATAAGTTAAAGATGATCTTCCTGTATATACTGGATGTGGTTTTTCTCGGAACATGTCTAAGTCTTTCGGGATAACTTGTTATATTCACCACAAGACATGACTAGTATGTTCATCACGGGCTTACCGTTATATAAATAAAAATAAGTTGTATATGTACTTCTTATTGAGTTGCGCCTATTTAAAAAAAAATGTACAAATTGATCGCAAAATTCCTTATTCTTGTGACGTTGATGACATTGCTGAAATCAGCTCCTGTCATACCTCCGAGGAAAATATATCACCTGTAAGTTTATTGTAGTTTAACTTCAAACATCTTTTGTTTTATTTTTTCCGAATGCTATAGTTTTCATATATTAATGCTTTATCGAGCTACACTAGCAATTTATAATATGATTCTTTGTCGGCATTTTGTTGTTATACATTTAATGTTTTATTAAATATTATTTTAAAAAGTTGTCAGTGTATCTCAAATTCAGATGTACAAGTTTCATTTTTTTTACTTTTAAATGTTTAAATTTTCAATTTCTTATGAACATACTCGTATATCTGTGTGATTTTTGATTATCAGAGACAAGCTGATTCGAGTTCATCCTAAAACAACAGATCAAGTCCTCGCTCTGGAGAGACTTCAAGAAAACCTTCCTGCTGAGGTCTGATTTTTCAAGCTTCAATTTCTTTTTCGTTCTACAACTCCTTACAATTTATAAATAAAGTGTTATTCTATTTATCCATAGCCATTTCCTGTCGTTAGAAATCTTCTTACCACTGCTATCTATTTTCACATACCGTTAAATATATGCTTCAAGAAATTAAATTCTGAATACTAGTATCTTATCCTTGTTGTTCTTATTGAAAAACACTTTTGTTTGGTTGGTTGGTCGGGGTTTTTTTATAATGGTTGTAAAAAATGTTTATTAGGAATAAGCAATTGTTTTGCTAAAGTTGTTTTCCCTAAAAAAATTAATCTCTCTCTCTCTCTCTCTCTCTCTCTCTCTCTCTCTCTCTCTCTCTCTCTCTCTCTCTCTCTAAAGAAAATGCAAATAATTTGGTGAATGAAAACGTCACAAAATGAACTAAGTGCGTTCTATAAAGTAAACTTTGGATTCTTGTTGTTAAAGATTGATTTTTGGAAGAGGCCAAATATTAATGCTGATGTAGATATTCATGTGCCTATCAAAGTGTATGATGACGTCATTCAACGACTGTCACGTGCTGACCTTAAGCCTACGTTGTTAGTTCATGATATACAAAGGTAATAAGAATTGTTATATTTTTATCCAAAGTACAAATTACATACATATATACCTTTGTAAACAAAAACTTTCTCGATTCAGAAAATTGAAAGTAATCCTATATCTATTCAAAATTGTAAAAGAATCGAATTAAACGTATTTTTATTAGTTGTAAAGTACCTCTGATTTTTAGTGTTATGGACCAAGAGGAAGCTTCCATGGAGATCCCTGATTACGTCATTGATGTAACAGGTGCGATGGCATTCCCAGCACTCAAACTAAGGGAAACGGATATTGTCGGAAAATTTGCACGACATGCCGAGGTCAATCACACTTCTCTTGCTCGGAATTTGTCAATTTCTTTCCTTACAATTCAGTCATTTATAGAAGTCGCATTATTTTATTCATATACTTCTAATTACATGTAATTAAGATCAATCTATAATATGTTAATTGCAATTTAAACATATTTTTGTAATAATCTGTAGATGGACAGTTGGCTCTTAAGAATGGCATCACAATACTCCGCAATAGCTAAAACAGAGTCTATCGGCATAACGTATGAAGGCAGAGATATGAAAGTTATCAAGGTATAATGCTTATAAAGGATATTATAATGTTCTTCATAAGGAATTTATTAATTGATCGATTGATTGACTGATTTTTTGATTGATTGATTGATTGATTGAACATTTTAGTGTATCTTGTTTTACATCTCCTTTGAAAAAGTTTTATTTAGAGAGAGAGAGAGACATCAACCTGAAGGTTTTTAATCGAAAATTGTCATTGTTCCATGGCAAGGGGATCACACAAGACCCTTGCAGGATAAATTCATTGCATGACGTAGAGATTGGTCCTTCAGATGGGACTTTATAAAATGAGGTCCCGTGTTACAGTAGGTGTTGGCACGAAAAAGGTCCCTCATCTGAAAGATTAATTTCTGCAATTTAAATAGTAAAATTTAGACTTTAGACCAATTTTCAGAAAAGTATTTTTTTTTTTACTTTGATCACGCCTATAGAGAGATATTATTTCCTTAAGTTATTACTTTGATCTATGCTAAGGAAGATACATTATTATCTGTTATTTCACGATCATGACAATGACTGGTCGGCAGGAGATGATCACTCCTCCATGGTACGTGATCCCATCTCTGTTGTTTTGAGGTCCGTGTTTGATCTGCTCCTATTTTTTATTGTTTTATAGACTTACGATCTTGAATACTGTTCGTTATCCCCATATGTTTCACTTTATAGGTTGGAAGAAATTTAGATGCACGAACTAAGCCTGTGATATGGATTGAAGCTGGAATTCATGCTAGGGAATGGATCGCACCTGCAACTGCCATCTATATAATAAACACGGTATGGTTTCTTAAGAGTATTTTTAAACTCAAATTAATAAAAAAAAAAGTGATTTTTATGACTTCGATATTTATTCAATGGAATCTTTTTATAAGTTTTCTCATAATAAAATAAAAAAGGAATAAATAGTTGGGCATGATATTGTGAGTGGTAATGCCTTTTTAAAGCAAATATTGCTACAATAAACAGAAAAGTATCAAAAGAAATTTTATGAACATGTATTTTTACAAAGCTGAAAACAAACAGAATTTAATAATGAACAATTTTCGAAAAAAAATTAATTGATTTTGATTTTGATTTCAATTTCTTTTTTAAAGCTTTTGACGGGCTATGGATCGGATCCTGTGGTGACTCGTTTAATGGAGGAATTTGACTGGCACATACTTCCTTCCGCCAACCCAGACGGTTATGAATACAGTCATACCACGGTATTACACAGTGTAAAGTAAATGTCTTCTTATAGAAATTTCCCTCTGCAATGCTGACGGATATTAGTAATTAAAAACACAGGTAGTGTTAATCTGTACAAAGATTTGTTGTGGTTATCGTGGTTTCCAATACAGAGCATGCGCAGACTTTGATCAATCACGAACTACTTTCTGCAATTTGATTTCTTGAGCATTTTTAAGCACATTGATTTTTTTCTTTTTTTTTTTACAAATAACAAATTATTTTCCATCTACATTGTAACTTCCATAACTATAATTTCTTTTTCAGGATCGTCTTTGGAGGAAAAATCGTAGTCGTCAGTCATTCTGGTGTATTGGTGTTGATCAGAACAGAAACTTTAACATCTCATTTGGAGGTTTAATATTTCTATATGTAACATTCTTTTCTTTGTTTTACTCAGGTTTCTAATTTGCGATGACATTCTGTCCTTGGTCGTATGTTTCGATTTTACGAAAACAAAATTAAAAGCTAAATCAAAATTTGACAAATGTCATTTATGAGTGAGGGATACAGCACTAGCAAATTTGAGGAATATACACTTTTCCAGGTTTTTTTTTTTACGATTATGTTTCCTTATAAAGAAATTTATTATCAGAAGTTATTGTGTCCAAGTCCAAAATATTTTTTATGATTTTTTCAATTCATTTCAAAACGCTTTTTTTTTCATTTCGCAATTTTAATAGTTGGTAATCTCTTTGGTAGTAAATGCAATCTATCTGTTAGTTGAATTTAGAATAACTTATTTCATATCAATGTTTGAGACATTATTTGATTATCTGTCTAGGAATCTGCCATATCATAAATAGGTGCACGTGATGTATGTGAAGATGATAGAGGATACTTACTCCTTCATGTCATCTGATCCCACATTTGATGCTGCGGAGAATCGTGCATGCTATGTTTCCAATTTGTACTGTTCCAATACCCTTTTGAGCACTTTTACGTCAGCAATTTCTTTATTCATATTCCTACACCTGATCCCTCCTCTGTTATGCTTTAAAGGACCTTGTTTGCTCTGCTCTTATTTTGTACGGTTAAATTGACTTTTGAGCTTGAATACTGTTCATTATCTCCAAATATTTCATATGCAAAACGTAATGATTTTTTTTTCAATGTTAGTCTCCCTAGTTATATGTCCTGTGTGTACAGCTGTATTGTTTGTACATTTTTAGGTTCATCGAACTCTGTTCTTCAACCTCTCCTTTCGCACTATTATTAACAGATAATAAAATGTTAGCTTGATTGTATTTATTTCAGGTCATAATAGATTTAATTAAAAAAAAGTTCAATATGTTGACAACAATTGGGTGACTATTTTTCAGTTATTATGATTCTAAATGTTTGTCACTTGGCTAAAAAAAATTAGTACATGGAAATTGTCTGAGATGTCCTGTTTAAAACAGATGAGATCAAGCATTACAATACTTAATAATAAAGCCCTTTTTTAGGTTTCTCTTCAAATAAAAGCTCTCTAAATATGCATTTCGAGTACCTGTATCGCTTGAATGATCTATAATTAAACATTGAAACAGGGGCAAGCACCAGCAGAAATCCATGCAGTGACATTTATCCCGGGACAGGAGCTTTTTCCGAGTCAGAAACAAGGAACATAAGGGACGCATTACTTTCAGAAAAGGGGCGGATCAAGCTGTTTCTTTCCTTTCATGCTTACTCCCAACTTCTGCTGACACCATGTTCTTTCACTTTCAATAAACCCTCGGACTATTCAGAAATGGTAAGATGTAGTATTTTAAACATATAAATACCAATTCCATAAATATCACCAAAACATCATATTAAGCTCATACTTTGGGTTTTTTTTTTTGATTGGCTGCATGCTTTTAAAGACTCTATTAACAATGACTATTTTCATGACTTGTGATTTTAACACTGTCTTACCAGAAAGAATGTATATATATTGTTTTATCTTATAATAAACATGTTAATTTCCTTCATTTACCAAAAAAAAAAATTATATGTAGTTGCGTGTTGCTGAAGCTGGCCTGAAATCATTGGAGGCTGTTCATGGAAGCGTGTACACCGCCGGAACTCCGCCAGATATTCTGTGTAAGAATACAACTTTCTTCATTTTGTGCATCAATAAGATCACCGGAGTCATCAGAATTTGGCAAAATAGCATAAAAATTGAAATGCAACGTCCGTCAGTTAAAATTCCATCTAACAACAGCTTATACTTACAAACAAGGTTGTTGTTTAGGCCATAGAATTAACAATTCTTTTTATTTATATTATGTCATTGAAAATACGTCAGCGTATTTAATATACCGAAAGTTTGTACTTTGGACAAGTTCTTGCATACCAGTGAAGATGGAGGGCATATATAAACATGTACCATATGAAGCTGAAATTAAAATATTACTACATATATAAAAGTAAGATGACGATGGAAGAGCTGAATTCAATAATTTTTTCTTGCTGATGGACCATTCTGTCATTGATTACTTAAAAAGTGGAATCTTTATTTTAACTTCTTCTGATGTCACTATCGTACACTTCTTTCAGTTATACGAATCTAATTATCAGTTACTTATTTCGATGATAAGCTTTGGTATTACGGTTCCTAAAATATTATAATCGATTGATAATGCAATGGTGATGGTTAGATATTTAAACTGTATTACAATTAACCAATCAGATAAGGCAAAACAGAAGTGCGACTCCAAAACCTCCTCCAAAGCTGCCAATGGAGAAAAGTTTATGTATCCGATTAATAAATCGTCCGATTACGGCATATCAAACGCTATTATTAGAGAAAACCACACATATATAAATTTCTTAAAGTTTAATGGCGAATAATGGCCATGGCAGCACTACAATTTTCACGAAATTACATTTAGTTACTGGTTACAATCGTAACCAAGGTTACCGACCCAAATACATTGGGCGATTTTGGCAACCCAAATGGCAAATGGCAAATACATGTAAATGAAAATCATCATGAAATGGGCAAATACACTGGGCGATTTGACAACCCAAATGGCAAATGGCAAATACATGTAAATGAAAATCATCATGAAATAGGCAAATATAGAAATGAATATGAAATAGGCAAATATACAAATGAAGCTGTTAAGCAACCTACTGGCAAATAATGCATTGCAAATGTTTCATCCAGTCTGACACAAATAAGCAAATCGAAATTTCACACTTATTGAAAATAATTTTGCACAGTTGTAGCGAGCCCTGGGAACAGATGCTCACTAAATATAACCCTATTTAAGTTCAGCTAAAGATTGCATAGTCTTATTCCATCCGTTATACATACAAATCGGGAATCGTACGAAAATCAGTCACATGTAAGACAATAGTGATCACTTAAGCTGCCAATGGAGAAAATTTTATGCATCCGATTAATGAATCGTCCGATTACGGCATATCAAACGCTAATAGCGGGGTTTAGGTAAAGAGACAAGTAAATGAACATCTCCCAAACAGAGTGCTTACAAAATTATGATAGGTAACACTAATTATTACCTTGATAATCTGTCTCGAAGCAGGGGTCCCCCGTTTGTTTACAACTTTTGTTTCTTACCTTTTGTATTTTTATTATACGGAATAGGGCCATTCTTTAAACGTGAGACAAAAAAAAAATCTCCTTGCATATAACGACATATAGATGTGTTTGAAGGAGAAATTTTATATTTTTGAGATATTATACACTCTTACATTTTTTTTGCATTAAAAAGGGGGGTATTATCCATACTTCAGGTGCCTTTGGTCGGATAAGGCCCGAGAAGTTGCGATTGGAATTAAGGACAGATGACACAAACAAATTTTTTCTTTGAAAAAGATTTAATATCATGTCACAAGTTTAGAAATGTGGATGGTTCTTAGAATTTTTTCTCCTAAGAACTGGAATATGAAAAAGACTTGGAAAATATTAGTAATATTTCATTGAAAAAACAAATATAGACAAAACACATTCAGTAAAGGTTTACAGGTGAAAACAAATTTCAGAATATGGTAACATGATGCTAAAAGTGTAATATAAACTTAAGAAAAATATACCAAGCCAGGTGAATTTTATTAGGAAAAGCGAAATGGTAAAAATCAGCCTATTTGATGTTGCTAATTTTTTGTAATTTTGATCTTCCTTTTAAAATTCACCTGGCTTGGTATATTTTTCTTAAGTTTATATTACTCTTTTAGCGCCAAGATAACATATTCTGAAATTTGTTTTCACCTGTAAACCTTTACTGAATGTGATTTGTCTATATTTGTTTTTTTATCGAAATATTACTAATATTTTCCAAGTCTATTTCATTTTCCAGTTCTTCGGAGAATAAATTTTTAGAACCATCCACTTTTCTAAACTTGTGACATAATATTAAATCTTTTTCAAAGAAAAAAATTGTTTGTATCATCTGTCCTTAAGTCATCAGGTCTCGATTACGCTGTTCCATTTAACACCAGAGAGAAAATTTGTTTGCTTACCTGTGTATGGAATACAGACGATTTGAGCTTTCGTTGCATTAAAAATAATCTTTTTAAATTTCAAATTCGTTTGTAATATGTATTGATTAATTTTAATGAACATACAATTTAACAAAATCATGTTCCTGTTTTTCTGCTTTATTGGGACTAAAATCAAGTTGTTTAATGTGAATGGAGGTCCATGGAATAGCCCCATTTAGCTATAAAAACAAACATTCATCAGCAACTTTATGCATTTTACAGTATTTATACTGCAAAAGACGACGCATCGGTGTGGTCTAAACAAGTATTTCATACTACAGCCAAACATGCATTTGAATTATTCAGATTTGATACGTGTTTCTAATCTGATAATTTTTTGATGACGTTCGTGATTCATTGGAGAATAATTTTTGCGGCATTTCTTTGATCTCGGCAATAATAGTGGTAGAATATTAAGTACATAATGAATATCTATTGCGAATGAACCTTACATTTTCAAAATGACCTTAATTGATACATGAATTTCTCTTCAAAACTGTTCAATAAATACGAATTTATCCTTTTTATCCTTTTTTCCAGACCCTGCTTCTGGCGGATCATATGATTGGGCAAAGGCCGTGGCGGGAATCAAGTACTCTTACACCTACGAACTGAGACCGAAAGATGCTACTTTCGGAGGAGCAGGTTTTGTTATACCGGAGTCGGAAATTAAACCAAACGCAGAGGAAGTTTGGGCATCATTGGTTACCATGGCAGGAGAGATATACAATACTAAAGAAGAAATTTCTAACTGAACATCCATTGGAACTACATGTATTTATGTACATGTAAATTGTTATCAAATAAGATGATCGCCCAAAAGAAATCAATTTTATAAACTATTTATTTACATTAATTTCAGTTGTTGATTGTAAGTATTCGACTTAATGCTGCATTATCGTAAAGTTGTTGAATTTTTCTGCTTTCGCTGGAACATTAATTTAGGTTTTAAAAGAATTTCATTCCATATGTATGTTTTCTCCAGTTCATTATTTTATATCTAGTGTACAGTGGTTTTGATAACTTTTATAATTCTGGAATATGATTTAATAATTTTTTCTCAGTAGAATACTTTTATTGTGAAGAACATTGTCCTATATCGCCTGTAATATCTATTTATGGAAATGCGCTCATATAGACTTTTGAACGAAAATTTGGAAATAAGTGAGAGAATCGATGCGTGAGGGCTTAAGTTTTAAATATTTTAATGTTATGCAACTAAAACACAAGAAAACACGAGAAGGAATCTTAAAAGGGTTTAAAATACTTCAAAGGAAAAATTGTTAAAGTGTCTTACCTAAATTTGAATTTATGAATTTATCTAAATAACATTTTATATCTTTTATTTATACATGCTACTTTAAATATGCTAATCTAGTGATTAAATACGATAATAAGTCAGAAACGTCTTATTCATCTGTTTCTTAATGCACTAATGCATCTCCAAACTCCAATTTTACTTTACAATTTATGTATATTTTTATATATTTTTGATTAGAATCTTGTAACAGTTGCACAAAACGTATTTCCTTGTTATTCTTTGGGAGACGTTTCTAGTGACTGTTGCAGAATTAACGATAGTTATAAGTATATGTAACTATAGCCTAAATATTCATGAAATTATTTCTTTTCTATCAAGAAACCTTAACCAAGTACTTAGTATATGCATGATTATAATTCCTAGCAAAATATTTTTTAAGTCATTAGATATTTTCTATGTAAAAAAACATATTATAGAACGAACAAATGAAAAGGGTACAGAGTTACAAATGAGAATCAACTTATTGCTCAAAAGAAAAATAGACATCTAAATTACAAAGTTCTTATTCTTATTTTTCTTGCATTTAAATTTAGAGGGAGAGATGTATAATTACATGTAAAGCAATTGAGCTATATCAAGTAGGCAAACAATATGATTCATACTAAGGGCCATTGAGAAGTGAGGATATTTTTCGTTCAAGCTCCTGCCTAGTGAGGAATTTTTAAGAACATTTTTGTACAATTGTTAATGCATTAGCTTGCTTTCCTATGGGAAAATCATAATGATATCATTTCTGCAAAAAGGAACATTATGCTTATACTAAAACTGTAAAACAATAAACATAAAATTCACTGGTCCAAAATTGTTGCTGCAGGCTGGAAAATGATCAAATTGTTTTACATATCTTTTCTTCATTTACAATGTGTTTGTTGTCCCTGTTATCACACTAACACTGAGCTGAGACAGGTTATCTCTATTTTGTTCCTTCTTCCTTTGCCTCAGACAGAGTGCCACTCCCAGCGATAGAAAGGATGCTAACAAAACCAACATGCCTGAAAAATTAATTTGTGATTTTTTTTCAAACTTCCTCTACCTCCTAAAGATATACCTACATTATTACTTCAAGTTCGAAGAAAATAAAATATGAAAAATAATTACCCATTATAAAGTAGGAGTATGCATATGACCCTGTCCTGTCAAAGATAAATCCTGCAAAAGTATACAGGACAAAATTAGCTTAAATTTAAGTGAATGTTACGTTATATATTTTTACACTTATTTTAAAACAGGATTTGACTAATTCTACATTAAGTTACATAATAAGATTAGGACTATTCAGAAAAATTATTTCTTTTACGAAAAGATTAATTGTAAATGTCCTTGAGAAAGACTACATTTTAAATGCATAGATATTAACATAAAAATTTTGAAGTTAGGAAAATTAGGAAATTTTCCTAATGATGGAGATAAGAAGTGAAAATAGTGTAAAACTGATAAATAATTAAAGACAAACCTGCAGCGGGTGCACCAATGAGCGATCCCAGTCCTAGAAGTAAGAACCAAATTCCCAGAGCTTCCGATAAATATTCTTTTCCCGCCAAGGAAACGCATAATGGAACGGTAAAAACGTTAAGTCCGCCACTCACGACTCCATACATCACGGAAAATATTATATAACCTGAATTTGAGCTGATATAAAAAGGAAAGGTCCCAATCACCACGCCCATGCAGGCTGTTAGTGCAACGTTAAGCATAAGTGGATCTAGACCACCTGGGCCTATAGCCACACCAACCACTAGTCTTGATATTATGGTTCCAATTCCAATGACTGTAAAAGAAAAGGAAGCTGCTGTCTGTGACACGCCATTCAGTACAATATACTTTGTTAATTGTATCATAATCGCAGAATAAGACATGTTCCAAAGTATTGCTCCAATCAGAACACACATAAAAAACGGCGTAGTTAAAAGTTTTTTGGACGATTTTAAAACGTTGTTTTCTTTTCTTCTCAAAACATCAACTGTAATTTCAGGCGTTCGCAGAAGCAATGCAAAGAAAATCAGATGCGATGCAATAGCCCCAGAGAGAAGATAAGTACCTCGCAATCCATATTCTCTCAATAGATATTCCATGAAAGGTCCGCTAAGAGTCATCCCAATACCTAACCCTGCTTGACACATGCCATGAGCAACTCCAGAATGTTTCTCAAAATTTACACCAACTGCAAAAAGAGCAGGTAAAAGAGCAAGCCCTACTCCTATGCCTGGAAAGGAAAAACATTTCATAATGTCTTAATTGTTTCTGTGAAAAAGCGACAGTAAGGAATTAGCCTTCCTATTTTATTCAATTAGCATATAAATGTACCTGAAATAATTCCATTTGTTATAACTAGGATCCAAAATGAACTGGCGAAAGATGAAGAGGTCAATCCTAAAAAGAGGATGATAGCTCCAATGAGTGAGGTAAATCTGCATCTCCATTTATTGATGAAGTAAGATGCAAGAAGCCCTTGAAAGAATTTAAACAATCATTAATTTAGTAATATTATATGTATTTTATTATTATCAATAAAGTTTTTAGAATAATGAAGTTACGGTGAGAAAAAATAGAGTCAAAACTGTGAATGAAATCAAGAATTGATGTGTGTTCACGCTATGTAAATTTCGAATTCTTGAAAGTAATGAACGCAAACAAATTAAAAATAACACACGGGGAAAATCCCGAAATAAAGCTAAAGACAAAGAGATTTTGAAGAAAAAAATTTATTTTTTTTATCATTATTGTAATATTGGTTTTTTTTCATGTTTACATCTAATTAAAAGTAATTTTTCATTACCTGAAATAGCTTTTGTCTCATATCGATCTCATTTCATTTTATAAATTATACTTTATCAATTAAATATAATACTATATCCAAGCATATTAAAACAATAAAAATGATGCACAGGAAACATATTAGGTGAAGAGTGGGTGTCTTCCCACTTAGCCAAAATTCTGAATATGTTACAGGTGACTGGTTTTTGTTAGGTGGGAATGGTGTACAGGTAAGGGGAGGGAGAGAACAAAAGAAATTAATTACAGGTGACCTATAGTCTGTTTAAAATTAACCACAAGTAGGTATTATTAAATGCTGATATTGTAACTGAAATTAATATTTGAAATTATATTATTTATATTTTTTTTAATTTTGAATAAATTAATGCCATTTTTTCGAAATTGTTTTATTAAAATTAATTATTAATGAAGAAATAGTAAAAAAAAATCTTTCTTAACTTTTTTTTTAATTTGTAGATGGTAAACGATTTGTATTCTTTTTTATTTTCTATATTGTGAATTTTTTTTTTATTTGATTTTTTTAAAATTTATAAAAAAATTTTAAGTGCCAATTTTAATATACTTTGAATCACAGATATTTTAAAAATACATGTGAATGAAAGGAAAAGTATTATAAATGTCTTTAAAATCTTAAATCTAATATGTACTGTAATCATGTGTTTAAACTTAAATGCGAATAATTCTAATTATTAAATAATTTATTAAAATTAAATATCACATTAATGGAAAAAAAATGAAAACGATGACAGATAAATTAATATGTAAAAGTGTTTATTTTTAAATAAACCTTTTAGAAATAAATATGCTTATATTAAGATGTAATTTTTTGAAAAATTTACTTTTTATTCCCTAAATATATTCATTTTTAATTTTATCATTCAAACATTTTTGGTTCATTAAGAATTGGTTTGAGCATACTTTTTTTTTAATAAATCATTTTACAAATGGTTTGAAAACAAGTCCGGTAACAACTTAAGAAGGATTTTTTCTCGGCCTTAAAATCCTACAACTGTCAATGTATATATACAGTTTCAAAGCCGCAACACCCTAATTTTATGGTGAAAATTATATATTATAACTATGTACCAAAAAATTTAAGGACATCTTTAACTTTGCCAAAAAGCTATTTTACGGTTGAATGGATTTCTTTCCATTACCGTAAAGTTGCTTTTTAGCCCTCAACAGAATTCAAAATTTTCCTTTTTTAATAAAATTTTAACAATATTTTTAATTTTCAAGGTTTTGAAACTGTTGATCATAAGTATTGTACCAAAAGGCCGGGAAAAAATCCTTCTTTCTTTACCGGAAAAAACCTATTGATATAAGAATTAGTATAAGTTTTGCATGGACACTTTATGTATTTCTAGTTAACTATATAAATCAGATTATATTTTATTTTTACCATCAATTAATTTTTTATTGTACATGTCTACATGTGATTCCTATTTAGTACAAATATTTCTGCAAAAGAACTTAAACATAATTCTTTTTCTTTTCATTCTGAGTATAATCTCTTTATCGGAAAGATCAAATTAAGTAATGATCCAAACACAAGATCAATAATTTTAGTGTATTGTCAAAAATAATCTCTCGGTAAATCAATGATTTAATTTTTTCCTCAATTCTTCCCAAGAAAATCTTTTTTTTTTATTCTCTTTACATAAAACTTGATCCTAAGTTTTCCGTTTAAAAATGATATTGATAGAAATGTACCGGTATGTATTTTAAAATAATTAATATGTAACACCTTATTAATTAATAATTATGTTATAAATCAAGTATTTGTGATGTGTATTTTGATACTGAACTTATACACCACAGGTAATAAGTACAGGTAATAAGCCTAAAACAGACTATACACAGGTGACCACTCAGGTGTGAATATCCCAATTTTGGCTAGATGGGAATAAGGAATTCAGAATTTTGGCTAAGTGGGAATGAACCGAAGAAGAGTGTGGTGGGCCACAGAGCGGAGGATAATGTTTTACATCTTATATTTAGCAGTGCTTTCTGTTCAGCGCCTTTTGCAGAAAGAAACCCGCGAAATGCAACACTTAAAGTCTTGCACATATATACTTAACAAGAACAAAACAAATGTGATTAAGGACGTTCGATCCTTTGCTTTGAGTCGATTTTGGTCTGGATCTTTATTTCTAAAATTGTGTATCATTTTTAAGTTTAAACAATGAAATAAGATTCTACAATGCAAATTAAACCATATCCATTGCAAAAATCGCAATTTAAGTTGGATTACGCCAAGAACTATATTTTGTGGCGGAAGATTTTTTAAAAGTAAATCACCAATTTTCCTTTTACCTATTTGCTTAAATTCTGGAAAAGTTTAAGACTTTTAAATAATTTTCTCGCTTATCTAATTTTCAGTGCCAGAAAAAGCACATTTTGTGAGTGCAGAAAGGTCAAATAATTGTGAAGCAATTTGAAACTTTTTCTTAGTCACAATTATAAAGTGTCTTATTTTTAAAAGACTTATAGTTTATTTTGTTCCATGCTTTATTTGGATAAAAGTATTGGAGGGGGAACGTTGAAGATGTAATTCTTTGTCAAGACACAAATTTTAGTGCAAAAAGGTTTTATTGCATACAACACCAAAAAAATCATATTGACCCGCATACTTTGATTTGATTTTTAATTAAGCTTTGTGTATAGAAAATAAATATACTTAACAAAAAAGCTTAAGACTTGAGATATCAGGAGCCAACCTCGTTGATGAAATTTATGCTAACCTGATAAAAATTTCGCCATTTATTGTGCACGCTATATATAATAATTTTAGAGTATTCTAGACCAAGTGTAATGATCTTGGATACATTTGATGTTCCTATTTTCTTAAATTTTTAGTGTAATATCATGACTAATTTCTTGTATACAAACTATGTATTTGTTAATTTAGTTGTGTATCAATTTAAAAGATTTAATGTAAGACATCAAAACCAGGTCACTATTATTGTCAGTCAGGGCAGCCTAAATTGAAATGAATTTACCCATTTAAACATTAACGTTTAAAAACATAGCTTTTGCCCTATTCAAAAATCACAAATTTTCTCACTGATCTTATAAATAATGTGCTCATTTGAATTTGAAAAAATTGTGTAGGATCAATTTATTTCATTAAAATAAAAAATGTAAACTAAGCAACTGTATCCAAGCCCATTTTAAAGATTTATTTTTTAATGTTTAAAAGTGATAGATGATATCGTAAATTTAAAGAAGTAAATAAAAAAGTGTACCAAAAACACTCAGTAGGTTGACAAATAAAGATCCAATCACTGATGTGGTGGCGTCATCTTTTCTGTATTTGTCAAGTAGGTACAGGTGCATTACTCCGGATCCATAGGTAAAAATCGCTGTAAAAAGCTGAATTCCACATGCTGCGAATAAAACTACGAACGCCCATCCCTTGTCTTTTTCGACCTTTATCATTGCAGGTCGTCCACAATCAAAAAAAATCCTAAAAGGTAGAGAAAATTATTAGTTATTTTTCTTCTAAAGATTAAGGAATCCAAATATATTACTTGCTGACTTTCATTTTGCTTTTGGTCATTATTTCGTTATATTTCCATTTCTTAATTTTGTCTCTTTGATAACTCTTTGAAACTTAGCGCAGTTAATTTCTTGATAAACCTGCCGGAATGTAAATTACGCAAGTCGAAAGGTCAGGAGCTAGGGGGGCCTAATATGCATGCAAATCTCGTGCGCATCTGTCTCTGTGTCTGATGCAAAGGATGCCAAATATGCATGAAAATCTCGTGCGGCTGCCTTTGTGTTTGGCGTCAGTGGGAGAGGGCTATGGAAATTGGCAAGGGAGTCTTTATGTAATTTAAATCTATGTCTACATTTTTAAAATAGAAATGTACAATTTTATTTCACAGTGAAACAGAAATATAAGGAATCACTGTCTAGTTCGTACAGTATGCCAGGAACATCAACGATAGTGGGAAACATGGGATAATTTTAGCATAATGGGCTTCGCCCGTTATGCAAATTATCCCATGTTTCCCACTATCGTTGATGCCCTGGCATACTATACAAACTAGACAGTGATTCCTTAAAACAATCAAATCTGATACATACACATATATTTATACTACGAGGGCTGTTCAATGAATAATGTCCTCGGTGCTCAGAAAGAAGCAAACGACACTTTTCAATGATTTAGTCTTCGTGATTTTACTTATTAATCTCTTTTAATACAAAAGCACGTCCCTAACATTTTTTATCCAATTCCTGATTGTTTTTAGAACTCATTTTTGGATATGACCCTTAGTATACTGGAAAATGGCAGATCAAATGATTTACTGGACTCGTTTATTCCTTCTGAAAGGTGTCTTTTTTTCAAGTTTGGAAATAGAAACAAGTCAAGAGGTCAAAGATCTGGCAAATATTGTTAACATGAAAAAACATTAACTTTCTGTTTATCCCGGAAACCCCTTTACTCTTCAGGACATGCGGGTTTGGACGCTGTCATGAAGAAATTCAATGTAGTGGATTCCTGATACTGGGTCCTTCCTATAATAAACCTTTCGATTTTTTTTGCAAAAATTTGCTTTCTAGACTCCTCCAAATATATTAAACTGTCTCCCCGAATACGAATTTGAACAACAATACCACTAATATTTAAGAAAATTGCATATAGATCTGTCTTTGTGCTCTTGAATACCTTTGTTTTTGTCAGACCTTTGCCGTTTTTATCAAGTACATCTTATGGTAAATTTTGTTTTGATGATTTTAAGCAATAGATTCATGTTCTAATATCTGTTTGAATATAAAACAAACGTGGATAAATACAATGGCTGATATTTTAAAATAATTGTTAAGACTTTCGTACACGCTGTTGTTTTCACTCATTTTTCAAAATATAGGGTAACCTTTGAGTACCTAGCTTTATTACTGTCAAACGTTTCTTAAAAACAGTGTAAATTACTCCCGATATGATGCCTATCAAATTTGCTATGTGTCTTACAGTCAATCATGCATCATCAAATATTATTTGTTGAAATTTTGCAAAGATTACATAAGTTAATTGTTATAAATTTTGTTGGCCAGAAGGGTACCCATTTTTGATGCCCATTATAAAATTTTTTATCACTGAATTCCACCTGTTCATTTGTCTATAAAACAGGCATCAGTTGCTGTAACTGACACATATTACAGTGAATATTTCTTTGGGATTTTTAACAGTTTTACAGCAGCTTTAATGTAGCCTTTATTTTCACTCTAGTTTACTGATTTTTTTACCATTCATTTATAATGCAGTGTCTCGAAAAGCCCTTGTTTCCCAGCTTCTCACGATGAAACTATGTGATGAAAAGTGGTCACATAAACTGTTATAAATTCAGTAAAGATTCAATAATAAGAGAAACTCAAGTTTAATGCCATATGATATCTGTATTGTATGTCATACAGTTCAGGACATTATTTATTGAACAGCCCTCGTATATCAATGAATCTAAGAAAGATTTTTGTTAAAATTAATTTTTCAAAGAAGTATTCAAAAAGTCAAGGGTTTCGATGAAAATCTATCTGGAATCAATTTTTGGACTGAATTTAAATAACCCTTACTTTTTTAAACAGAAGCACAGTGTATATTGTACAGATTTTTCCTGATTAAAAAGTGCATTTTCCGTGAATTTGTGCAAACGGTACATTTACATGTGTATCTGTTTTAAATGATATAATTTTAATTAAGACACGTAATGCAGCTACTGTCTATCATTTTACACGAGTGCCGAAAAGCTTAGCTCTGCCTTCTATTTAATGGTCTCCTAGTGTGATCTGTTAGATCTTCTTCCCTAAATCTAGAGTCACTGTAATAATAATTAAAAAAAACATTAAATGATCAAGAAGTTTTCATGCATTTTAAAGCAGTAAATAGCATCATTTTCTCAGCCAAAAATCTCAGAATTTACAAAAATCTTGACAAAAAGCCCTTGGTGTATACTTAAACAAAATGTATGTGTTCAATTATCATGTAAAACCCACACATATCTTGCCTACTGAATTTGTTTGTGAGCTTCATGCTCGCAAATTTAGTAAGGCTACCACGTCGTCATCATGCGATCAAGTTTGACATATTTAGAATTACATTCAAGATTACAAAGTAAATTATAAAGTATATAATTAATTTTTGAATTTACAATATGTATAGTCAGCATTTTGTAACTTTTCTAGTCATTGTAATGATCCTATACATGTAAGCAAAAATAACCTATGAAAGTCTAATATTTAGACTTTTTTAATAACAGTTTAAGGCAAACTCCGGTAAAGATTATTGAATCAGGTGAGAGAATAAAAACATATGTAGATAACTTGAAAAGAGCGTAGAAAAGTAATGTCAAAACTATTAGTCGATAAAATTATTGACGAGTGGCGCAAGACTTTTTAAAATATTTTGTTTATCTTAATATTTTAAAAAGTCCTTGCACAATAAAATAAAAATTTAAGGCACATATTGACAGAAATAGGAGTATAAATATGGCCATTTTATTGAATACATTTTATCTTTAAAGATTATAGCAGCTGTAAAATTACTTTTTGATCACTCACGTTTCACGTTTTAAATTCAAAACGATTTAACAAATAGAAAGATAATCCTTTCAACGAAAATAAATGTCTAGTTGTCATGTTGTAAATTTTGTATTTACTGCCCCCCGGTAAATTCAAAATTTACAACATGACAGCTCTATGATTTTATATTATAACAGAGATCTCCCCCATTTTCATCGTCATTCAAGATACTGTATCAAATTATTGCACAATCAAAATTGTAAAATCTTTCTTCTCGCACAATTTAGAGGTATCAAACAACAAGTCTATGCTTAGTTTAGCAACATAACGGAAAATTAGCATAGAGTTTTATGTATTTTTGCCGTTAAACTCAGGCAAAAGGTGCTTATCAGCTTTTTGCCAAAATATATTCATGTAAAACACTCAAATTTTAGAAATCATTTACGTACATCATGGGGGACTTTGACCCCCTTTGCATTGATCTATTTTTATAAAAGATTTGTGTCTGTTATGAGGTTTTTGTTATAATAGTCAATATGAAGAAAAATTTTATGTTACTCTTTAAGTGCTATAAGAAATGACGTAAATACTTTTTAATGATAATGAACATTATGTTTTCGTAATCGCTATATAAAAATCTTTCATTGAGGCACTTGCCATTTAATCATTTACATGTATGGACTCACTTTTTAAATATGCATTATTTTGCTGAAATAAAATATGAAATTATACAGTATAAATTGTAAACAGGGCAAAAACAGGCCAAAAGACCATAAACTGAGAACAGACTTACGTCAAAATTTAAATCCAGTATAACTTTTGAAATAATTTTGATAATAAGACAAAATTTACACCAAATATTTATTTAAGTGATGTGTGATGTAGAGAATTGCAAATTTTTAAACAAATACGGTAAGAAGAACGCAGGAAATTAAAATTCAAAATTTTTACTGAAGTCTGTTCTCAGTTTATGGTTTCCAGGCCAGACCTCTGACAACCAAGGTCTGTAAAGTGCCATGAAGTAGAAAGCGTCACTTGTCGACTGCTTTCTCTGGTCTTCTGATATTTGTCATATTTCATATATTAGACCTCAGAATTAAGCTTTCAATAAAAAATTTCTAATGTCTTTGTATCATTAAATTATTTGCGGATAGTTGTCTCCTTTAATAAAAATGATTGTTGGTAAAAACATGTTATCGCGTTATTTGCAAGACATAAATCCCTTATACAAATGATAATGAATAAGAAAGGTTAAAGTCATTAGAAAAATAACTATGCTTTTACTCAATACTGATTATGAAAATTCATAATTTAAAATTTATTGGTATACAGGGGAGTATTTGGGTAAAAATAGTTATTTTTCATTTCCTTCCTTTGGAGATAACAAACAGGATTTTACGTACAAAACACCATAAAAGAATACAAAATAGGAGCGAGCGGAGCAAACACGACTTCCAAAACATCAGAGATGGGATCAGTTGCCATGGAGGAGTGGGCATCCCTGCCGACGGATCAAACCCGCTGTGTGCTCTATGTCATAATCGACGAAATCGACGAAAAATTCCTTCGTCAATTCATTGTTTAAATAGTTGTCTAAATTTAGTATAAAAACGCCTGTCAGCATTTGACTCAATGATCAATTTTATTTACTGACAAGATGTTTGTACTTATGACATGATGGCTTTCAACGAGACAGCTGATACAGTATATACTTAAAACTCGGTTAGTACGAACACGGATATTGCGAATTCACGGATATATCGAAATTATCTTGGATCCCCAGGTATATAGATTTAACAGATTCTTACAAAGATATAACGAATTACGGATATAATGAAGTAATATCATAGGTCCCAGTGACTTCGTTTTAACTGAGTTTTACTGTATTCTTCTTTCATCAACTTGTTTGTTTAATTAATTTACCTCGTTTTAGAAATTGCTCATTAATGTACGTAGAGCAATTGTTCAATAAATGTCAATTTCCATGCAATATCATTCTATATGTTTGTGTTCTTTGTGTTCTTAACAGAATATTGTGAATATCATTTGCGAAATTGAAGTATCTCAAATATATATGTATATGAGCAAAAATAGTTCGACAAAAAATATCAAAATGTCTTTAATCAAGCTGATAAAATGTTAATATATATAGCAGCCTAACGAGCACGAAAAAATAAAATGAGGTTTAAAATGGTAAAATAGAGTTTTTATCATATAGATATTTGCAATGTTTAAAAAAAATGGGTAAAAATTTAAGAAAAAATGACAGCTAAAATTCTGATTCTTATATTCACTAATTTGGTAGTAAAATCACTCTTCTTGATATTTATTTCGTAAAATCTTTTCATTTATATATTATTTTATCATCTAAAGACGTTTATTATTGTGTAAAGGAAATATTGGAAGCCATGTAGAAATAATGTTTTTAAAATTTTTAATTCGGTCAAGAGTAAATAATAAGATTCCAATGATTGGTCTACGAGAATGTACAATAAGTGTTTTTTTTTTTATTCTTATCAGTAAAACCTTTTTATCAACTGAATAAAGGTCATCCTCAAAGCAAATTTATTAATCTCATCGCTAGCACGTTTTAAAAATATAAGACATTAAAATATTGAAATTGGTTATAATTGTAACAGATATCCAAAAATTTAGAGAGGATTCTCATTCTCTAAATTTAAAATTAATATTTCAAATTAATATTATTATCATCAATATCAGGCTAATGCTTTACTGATAAAAATAGTGTAATGTTTTGCTTGAATATTCATGTAAATGGTTGAAAAAAAATTTCATTAATCTACAATTTTTTTTAAATAAATGGTTGATACCTACCTTGCACAAAAATAGGTCAATATCCTGACTGAAGGTAAATGTTTATATGAATGTTTCTACCGTCCCAATTTTACACAACTTTTTATGTCTGCAATCATGTTTTGAATCAAATTAGATTTTTTTTTCACTTAAAAACTTGTCTATAATTTACCGTTTACAATATCTCCACTTACTTTTTATGCACATCCACAACCGTTTACATTCCCCAGAGTCATGTCAAAGGTAACCATTATTGATATAAATCGTCTGCTTTTATGTTGATCTAATTTAGAATCACATAAAAATGTGCTTTTATTTTTTTTAATAATGTATGATATTTTGCGTCAGTGGTAAATAATGTGTTTATTTCTGTAGCTTCACAATTTTTCAACTGTATTGAAAATTATATCTCTCATATATAACATATATGATCACTAATTCATTCCTCTCCCCCTCGAAGAAGGGATGTGTCTTGCTTTGCTGCTGTCGGTCTGTAGGTCAGTCGGTCTGTAGGTTCACCAACAGTGTCCGCTCATCTTCTTCATAGAGGTTAATTAAATTTCGTATACAAATTAATAACCTAAAATTAAACATAGGAATAACTAGGTCAACTTTTGTTTTGAGTACGATCAAGTATTTTTGACAACGTTATGCCCCTTTCACTTACAGAAGGGCGATATAAGTATTCCGGATATATATCTTGTTTATTTAAAAACTTGCGGCTACATTTCTCCTTGCAAATGAAAGGTGCCATAGAGGATTGAGCAACCCCTGCCGATTGGCTACACCTGCAGTGAGCTCCTTGTCGTGATCGGAAAATAACGGAAAAACCCGTTGGCAATTCAGTGTATAAATAATGGGCTAACAATTAGTAGGAAAAACTTCAGTCAGGATCTGACCCATTGATAAATTAAATTTGCTGACAAGGTCATTGTATAGACCATAGAACTTAAAAAATGATGACATTAAATGAGACTGCTGATATCCTTGTTTCATCAGTTTGTTTGTCAATAATTACCTCGTTTTAGAAATAGAGCATGCTCTTGCGTATTGAATCAACTCAGAGATATAAACTCCATATACAGATGATAAAGGGGTCGCATTAGTGAGCATGTATATTTTTTTCTGAAATCAAACACATTAAGTGATGCTATATCAACAATTTATTTCCAATTTAAAAAAAGATAAGAAAAACAATTCAGTTTGCAAACAATATTATTCGAAATAGAAGAATTCGCTTTATAAAAATAATATACAGGAGTTTCGTATGCACCGTTCCCTTAGTGTGCAACTGAAACAAATATTACTACATTGATTTTTGTGGACTGTGTACAAAGGGTTAGTATTGTCATGGAAGTGATAGGTCCGCCTTGTAAAAACTTAGAGATCATCTTTACGCGTTAAAAAAAAAACTGAAAAAATATTATGCATTGAAACAGTCGTTATCAGACTATGCGCCACATGATGCACAGTAATATTATTATATCATGTTTAATGGCGTTATAATGTATCTACAGTACTTCATCGTCCTGTGAATCATGTTTCATTTTAAATTAAGTATCACGAGTTGCAAAGAAATTTAAAAACAGATCTACATGACCCCCAAAAATGATTTACTATTAAGCAGTGTGATCGAGATAAGTTTAAGTATAAGGAACAAACATCAAGCTTAAATTTCCATTGAAAAGATACAACATGGGACCAGATCAAAAATGACTTAAAATGAAATTCTTTTCACATGCTTATAATCAACTTTTAAGTGATTTAAGAACCTTTAGATTATAAATAATCAAAAAAGAAAGTATGAGATTCTAATAAATGTCTTATTCATTCTTTTCATTTTATATCAAATGATTTAAAAATGAAAGTCTTCGAGCATTTTAGTTTAGTTCTAAAAAAAAAAGGACTATTAAGTATGGCAAGCCCTTTTGCTATTTATTCGGAAAAAAAATTATCTTAAATTTACAGAGACATCTCTCATTTTAGAGAGATATTTCTTAAAAAATAGAGATATCTCCTAACTTAAAGAAATATCTCTCAACTTTAAAAGATATCTCTCTGAGAAAGAGATACCTCTTTAACTTAGAGAGATATCTCTTATACTTAGAGAGATATCCCTTTCACTTAGTGAGATATCTCTTTTTCTAAGTGGAAAAAAATGTATACTCAAAACGCATTTTAAATAGAAATAGTATCTAAATATTAAATGATTGACCGATAACTAACTGGCTTCTCTTTATATTATAATGAAACAGGAGTAGTATAATTGTGTAAGCTTGAAATTTTGAACTTTTAAATAATTCGATTTAATTGCTGAAAATTAAATCGCGTTATTAGAGTGGCCCATATTTGGGGTTATTTGGGTTATGAGTGTTTCCCCGTTCTATCAGCTTTCGAGTTTTTAGTCTACCCCTTGCGACTTCCTTTTCCGTTAGAGAACCAAGGAAAGCAGAAGTATCCTGCATCTCAAGTTGTAAATTTGTTTATTTTTTATACTGTGTTAAAAAATTTTCATGTTTTGCATTGAAATTTAAGGAGAATATTCTTAACAATTTTTATTTTCGTGTGTATATGCACCATTATGTGAATGATTCTTCGGATGTTTTCCGATTTTGAAAAAAAACACATGCGTAATATAAAACAGGAAAGTTATAAAGCTGAGACAATATTTGAGCAATAAATAATAGTAAATAAATAAATAAAATAAATAAACATATAATGTTAATAATTTTATGATTTCTATAATTATTTCTTACTCTAAAGTCGGTAGTTTCAGAAAATGCCTAGAGGAAAACCGGCTGCCAAGCCCGCGAAGCGGAAATCCGCTGCCAACCCAGTGCCAGCATCGACTACAAGTGGACCCAAAAGAAAAAGGGGATCGGTGACCCCAATAGAGGAAAACACGCCCTGTACAGATATCATTACTACTTCAAGCATGGCTGACATTAGTTCCAGCAAGGAACCTGAGCCAGAGGTCAATTTAGATACAACAGGTAATGAGATCGATAGCATATACGGTAGTTTGGGGGCAAATGTTACAGAATCGATCAAACAAAAAATTGTTAAGGGTGAATACATTGATTTAGGTCAGCTTCTATCCAATCCTGTCCCGATGGATGGTAAGCAAACACTAACGGTCTCTAATGGTCAAGTAGTGATTGAACTAATGGTCAAGTAGTGATTGAACCGAAACGGGCTACAGTTAAAATTACAAATGCTCAGCAGTGGACTGATACATTTTTGATTTTTTCATCAATATATGCCACAGTACACCCTACAAAAATTTTTGGCTTGCTTAAGTACATCCACACTGTTCGTCTAGGGGCTAGCAGATGCACTGGTATAGGGTGGAAATTTTATGATGAGCAATTTCGAATGAGAATTGCTAAAAATCCAAGTGCTTCATGGGGAATAGTTGATCAGGGGCTTTGGCTAATGTGCATGGTACAATCGTTTACCGGTCCTGTGCAAAAACCTTCAGTAGGGAGGCGTATTCTTAAATGCTATGACTATAACAATCATGGGGTTTGTGTGAAACAGCATTGCCATTATTTACATAAATGTTTGAGCTGTAGCGGCCCTCATCCATCAGTGATGTGTACAGGCCCGTCTGCTAAAAATCAATATGCTTCTAGAGATTTTTCAGGTCAAAGATACCCATTACAATACAGGAGCCAGGGACCTTCATCAAGACCACCCC